TTCTAAGGGAAATCCTTTTTAACTTTACAACCATTTAGCTCAATATATTGTACAACTGAATTGTATATGTTATTAAAATTATTTTCATTGCTTCTCAGCCTTTTGGCTAACATCAAGTGTAGTAAAATTATTTTCCATACCCTAAATCATGAACTCTTTCATTGCCTATTTCTTGATTATGTGTAACCATGCTAGCACAGGGATCTTGTTTAGTTGTTATTTATTTATTTTATTTTTTAGTCTCAAAGTATACCTTAACAGTGTACTTAATATGCTGATTTGATAACTTACAAAAGTATTCAGTGTTGTCTTTGTTTCTTGTTGACTGATGTGGGTAAATTCTTTGGGTGTGGAATCTATGACTACATGTAACAACATTTTACATTTTAGTTCCTACTCATCCTTATTTGTTAGTAACGTTTGGATTGTTTGAAGTTCAGCAGTGTTGACAAAGAAAATTTCCATTGGACATATGTTCATTTTTCTCAACATCTTCACAGAGTAAAATACTTTCACCCGATTTTGTTTTAGAAAACAGCAATTCATTCATTTATTTATTTATACTGAATGAAGGCGAGAATAGACTAACTAGACATTTGCTATCATGTTCTGAAAAGTGATGACTATGAAATCATTAAGTATAGAACTCCAAGTTTATTTACTAAACACACTTTTAAAGTTGGAAATTGTTTGGCCTAAAAGTCACTTTTGGAAAGAGCAACTGGTGCTATCATTTATAAATGGAGTTAACTAAACTGTTTTTTACAGCATTTGCAGATTGCAGTTTTAAACACTCATTAGTAGTATTTACCACATCACAAAGGAGGAGATGACACTTGTATTTATAAGCACCTTAACATAATAAATTGTTTCCCTGAAATACATTCTACATAAACTTAATCACTGAACATTTTTTCTTCTATTATCCTTTCTTTGTGTTGACAAACTCCAGACTACTAAAAATTGATACAACAGAAATACCTCTACAACAAAAGTATTAAACAGCCTTACTGTAAATTACTGACAATGCATAAAAGTCCATTTTTCTTGGTTATTATGCCTTAAAATTTGACTTCACCTTTGCTGTAAATATAAACCATGTCATCTCCTTTTATATTAAGAAAATAGAGGATACCTCTATTAGCTTCTTTATTCTATTTGGCGAACTTATTTGGCTGTGTTTACAGTAATTATTAGTGATTTCAACACTGAATGAGAAAAAAAAACTTGATGACTTATATTTTGTATACTCTTTTCATTGCTAATTTATTCTTAAGAGTACTGTTTTTATTAAACTATTATTTATTGCCACTATTTAAATTCCCAAGGTTTTGTCTGTGTGTGTGTGTGTGTGTGTAATTTCATATCAGAGATACAAGTGGAAGCAGTTGTTGGTATTGAGATTTCAGTAGTAAACTTAAAAATTGAATGAAATAATTTATGAGAATGTCTTCTTATTACCAAATTATAAAAAAGTTATATGTAATGAAGATTAAAGCTCCAATTTCAGAGTTTCAAAAATTACAATACTAGAAATGTTATTCATTAGTTATTGGTGGGAATAGTTCATTCACCTCTTACAGCTACACTTAGTCATAATACAACTTTTCTATTTTAAAGATTTTTAAAATTTTACTTTAAACTTATTGATTACAGAGATAGACATCTTCCTTTCACTGGTTTACTCCCCAAACAACCACAATGGTCAGAGCTGGGCCAGTCCAAAGCTAAAGGCCATTAAGTTCTGACAGGTCTCACACATGGGTGCAAGGGTCCAAGGCCTGTCCATCCCCCCATTGCTTCCCTAGGCCAACAGCAGAGAATTGAATCCAAAGTGGAGCAGCCAGGATAAGAACTCTTGCCCATACTGGATACCATCTCCCCAGCAGAGTATTAACCTGATACACCAATATTCCAGCCCCCATTGTACAACTTTTAATACATGAATAATAATTTAGAATACACCAAAGTTTACCCAACATGTACATTTCATCATTCGGTGCTCTCAATTAATTAAAAACATTGTAAGTAGTGAAAATAGATCATAAAACAGTTCGAGTAAATTTTTCCATTTTGTAGTTGAGAATCAAAGACATGTTGAATTGTATTTAAGCTGAAAATTTCTAACAAATTTTCATGAAATTATGCCACCATAAATATGCATGTTAATAATATGCAGGGGGCTGGCCACTGGCTTAATTTACTAGTTGTCCACCTGCAAGTTTTGGCATCTGATATAGGCACTGGTTCATGTTCTGAAAGTTTCGTTTTCCATTCTGTTCTTGATTATGGCCTGGGAAAGCAGTAGAGGACGGGCCAAAAGCCTTGGGACCCTGAACCATCTCTGAGTCCTGGAGGAGGCTTTGGTCTCCTGGCTTTCGATTGGCTCAACTCTGGCTGTTGCAGCCTCTTGTGGAGTGAACCAGTGGGTGGAACATCTTTCTGTCTCCTTTCTGTAAATCTGCCTTACCAATAAAAATAAATACATCTTTAAAAAGTTAATTAAAATGTGTGTTTGTTAAAATGTCTGATGCAACTTCAAAAGCTTTATCAAACTGTAACTTATTGCAAAAGTGGAATGAATGCATAGTGTTTATAATGCATACGTTCCATTATCTTTTGAAGACATTTTTATCACACCTCATTCATTTACTATTTGAGAATAGCAATAGAGTACCTACACTCACACATTCTAAATGTTTTTCATGGAATATATGCTTGTGAGGGAAAAGATTTATTATTCTTTATTTCACTTCCAGCAAAAATATACTTTCGTATATTAATTTCAGATATATTTTATAGATAGAAAGTCCTAATGTATTTCTAATAGCTAATGATTTTAAGTGGTGTTTTTAATTCATATGAAATATTGTTTTGCTGTTCATATTCTAGTATTCTTACTATAGAAAAATTGAAATATAATAGTATAACATTAAATCTTATTCCTCAGTTCTTTGATGATTTGAACTTTAAGAAGCCTATAGTTTCAGATTCAAATAATATATAATAGTTAGGGCATAAAATACATTCAACTTTCACTAAAACGTTAAAATGCATATTAGAAACTATAGCAAAATACCATTTTTATCAGATTGGCAGATCTCTGTGGGTGTTATAACTTGATTAAAGCAAAAAGTTTTTTACACAAATTAGCAGAATATCATAGTGAATAGTGATTGGTCATTTCCTATATATCTCACATTTCTTAAGTATGCTTGGGATATAAAGATGGTTAAAGCATTGTTTTCATTCTTTAAAAAAGTACACTAATAGTTATATATAAATAGGATAAAACTCACAGTCTCTATTGTGTTCCTCAAAATAATGTTTGTACTATAATTATCCTCAAATTTTAAAAATAAAAATAGTACTGTATGTTTGAAGAAAAATGAATGATAAGCTCATCACCTGTGTTTTTTCACTGCTCAGAAGAACCCTTCGAAGTAGGAACCTACTTTATAGAAAATAGGAAGAGCTTAACATTTCTTAAGATTTTTTAAGAATTAGGGATCCTCAGTCTGAACAAACTATATTACAAATTTTCTTCAGTCATCCTAATTCTTCTCAAGCTTGCACATAAGCTTCAGATGTTAATTACTTCAATGTACGTTTGCTGATCTCCTGCTGCGCTTCTAGATAATAGGGATGCTCCAGAGAGAGGAGCAGGGGAGAATCACGACATTGCCTGTCGTGATTAAGCAGCAGTGACAAATTACAGAAAATGTGGTTTCTCTAGGAAAACAAACAAAATGACAAGAGCTTACTTTGTTTTTATGAGAATATTTCCTCTAATCAAGTAGTGCCAAATACTTCGTTTTGTTCAGTAACTTTGATGTTTCTTAAATCTCTACATCCCTGTATAAAAAAATCTAATATTGATTTTTTAAGAGGTTTATTATTTATTTATTCAAAAGGCAGAGTAGTAGAGAGATAGAGATGGAGAGAAATAAACATCTTCTATCCCTCAGTACACCCCCAAATGCCTGCAACAGCTAGGGCTGGGATGGGCAGATACCAGGAACTCCATCCGGGTCTCTTGTGTGGTTGGCAGGGACCCAAGTTCTTGGGCTGCTGTCTGTCGAAAAAGTTGATATTCATTTAAAGCTTGCTTACACTTTGTGAGAAGACTGTCAGCAGTCCAGAATGAACACTGTGCTAAAAAGATTCCAACTTTTCTGTGAATGATCCAAAAACAGCAAACAGAAGGCGTTAAATTTCTTAAGAGTCTCAAGTGTGTACATGTGTGTTATGCCATTCCTGTCATTAGCTTTTTTTTTCTTTGGGGGGGTATGAGAATAGACGTAAAATCTTGGTTTGCAGATGTGTAAGTTCCATAGAGAACTTTTGTATGGCTATATTGGGGTTCAGGAGACGACAAAGCCCAAGTATATTAAAAGTAGGTGAAATTGTGCACTTTGCCTTATGTTTATACAGCTCTTAACCAAGTATAATGTGTTTACTCTGATTTTAGGACATTTGTCTTAGCAGTAAGCCTTTCATATGTCAAAGACATTTGCTGGATTAACATCCTGAGTTGTTTCTCTTGTCCTGTTCAGAAGCAGGTTCATACAAGTACTCTGATGTGAAGCAGAGAATATGAAGTCTATGTAATGATTGTTAAATTAAAAAGAGGCATAGCTCAGTTGATTAAACAGTATATTTAAAGGGTACTTAATGTCTCAGTCTTAATAGCCTTGGTTACCAAAGCCAATCTCAGAACTATTTAAAGAATTCTTTTACTATTTAAATGGCATAACTGAGTTAAAGAAATATACATAGGAATAAAGGTCCATGCTGTTTACCTACACCTGGCCTGAGTCATTTTCACTTTTATAGCCAATCTTTACTAAAAGATACTGCAGTGGGAACTAGCACAGCACTTGTTGATTGACTATATTCTACTGTATCATTTTCACCCATGTCTTAGAATGTCAGTGAGTGGAAAAGTGCAGGGGAGAGCACATAACATGTACTCAAAATGTCTTCTTTCTCAATTGCAGCAAACTCAGTAAAGCTAGAAATGCAGAGCGATGAAGAATGTGACAGGAAACCCCTGAGCCGCGAAGATGAGATCAGGGGCCATGATGAGGGTAGCAGCCTAGAAGAACCCCTAATTGAGAACAGCGAGGTGGCTGACAACAGGAAAGTCCAGGAGCTTCAAGGCGAGGGAGGAATCCGGCTTCCGAATGGTAAACTGAAATGTGACGTCTGTGGCATGGTTTGCATTGGGCCCAATGTGCTTATGGTACATAAAAGGAGTCACACTGGTAAGCAGCTGAAAGAATAACCTGATGACTGCCTGTGACATCTGATGTTGATATTACCTGACATCTATTCTCTTTCCTTTTTATTCAGGGGTGGCAGTAGTGAAACTACCTTTTTTAGAATGCTAATATTGGATTGCTGAAATGCAGAAAGTAACCTGAGTCTTGACTTCCAACCTTCAAATCTAAATACCCTATCAGAAAAAGAAGTTTAGGATTCAGTTTCCACACTTCTTAACATAGCAATAACATGACAAGGGTTCAAAAGGTATAGGAGAATTTCATTATGTAACTTATCTTTTTATATGCCCATACATAGTTTTCCATACCCATGGGCAGGTAATATAAGTTTGCTAGCTATGAGCTTATACTGCAGAATGGCACTCATGCATTTGTATAGGAGCGAATCATTTTCATTTTATTAAGTTAACTTGTTGAAATACAATTTCCAATCAATCTTTGCTTACCACAGGATCACTGTAATAATGGACAGATAGCTTTCCCTACTTCAGGCAAATGACTGCCTTCCTGTAGTCTTTGGTTATAACTCCTGCCAGGAAATATGTCAGATCAGATATGACAAAGGATGTTAGATGTGCAGGTGGAAGTATGTAATCATTGAATAAAGAAAAACCCTCAGCTCAATACATACTTTGGATATAAGATAGATGGAAAATCCTTCATGAAAACCCACCGAATGAGGAGATGGATGTCTCCATAACCTCAGCTGCTATAACCTCAGCTGCTATTATTATTATTATTATTATTATTATTATTATTATTATTATTAAAGCAACAGAAATGAGATTATGGTAACACGTGAGGACCAATGATTTAGAGTTGGTGGTCCCTTTCTCTCTAATACAAAGTAATGTTGTACAGCAAAATTATCAATAACTGATACAGTTCTAAAACATGCTACTTTTGGAAAAGAGATGATTCACAATAAAGAAATTTTGCTTAGGCGCTTGTAACAAGAATTTGTTATGAATTCTCACCGTAAAGACAATAACTTAGGTTACTGTGGGACATCATGCATTAAAATCAGTATTATCACAAATCAGAATATCAGCTTTAGAACTTACACACTTTTTCCAACCGTGTAGTCAGATTTTTGCTTTTATATCTTGTTCAAAATTTCCTTTTTAAACAGCAGTATGTTTTAAAAGACTTATGTAAGCAGTGCTAATTATTTTTCTCTATAGTTTTTTTTAAAGGTCCTAGAGTAAGCTGAAAAAATCAAGATTGTGCGCTTTCAATAAGAACAAAAACAGGGGCTTGGAGGAAAGACTATAAAGCCAATCTTTCGTTGCTGTTGTGGAGTAATCCTAAGTGTGGTTTGCAAGATGAGTTTCATAGCATTCTATAGAAAGTGATACTGCTAAGGAAGGTGAAACTCATACAAATATGTAATTCCTCTTAGTAAAATACAAGCCAAAAAAATCACTCTAATAACTGCAGTTATTAGAGCACTATACTAAACAATTTTGGAAATATTTTAATAAATATTTTGTGAGGTTAATTTTGTGAAAATTTGAAGATCCAGATTGCCCATTTCTTCGAATTTTCGTTAATCACTGCATCCTGGCGTCTATGGTGAAATTTATGAAGATTGTTAGTGCTTAAATACAGTTAATACTTCAATATCTATTCTGCTCTGCAATTGATACTACTGAGGTAAAGTTGAGTTATTTTAATCCTGAAATGATCTTACAAACATGGAAAATGTTTATAGTTAGTTATATAGATTTTCAAATGGCCTAGGAATATGAGACTAAACAGCTACTCTTTTAAAAATATTTATTGAAGTATTGTGAAAATTATTACTCTTCAAATCTGAAAGTTTCTTTTCATGGAGAATCTTGGCATATCGATCATGCATTTTAGATTCTGAAATTTTGGGTATGATACCTTTAAGTATCTATTTAAATATTATTTTATTAACCCAGCTTATATTCGGAGTGAATCCTGACATTTTCGTGCTGTTTGAGAATAGAGGGGTCTAATTTTGTAGCTTCAAAGTTGATTGAGAAAAATAAATCAGAACCTGGCTGCTAACCAATTTTGTTTTTCTTCGTAATACCGTGAACTATTGCCTGCATTCTGAACTTTCCACTCCTATCAATTATTTATAGCTAATATGAAAGAAACTATGTTCAATCTCTTCATCAAGGTTTTAGGAAATATTTTCACATAAATTTAGCTTATAAACTATCTAATACAAAATTGATGGTGAAGAAACATATACAACCAGCCAATTTATAAGCACATGGGATGTCAGATCTAATTTTCCTCTTCTTTCATACTTTACTGTAGTGCCAATCTTGTGTCTGATCAATGGCTTATTGTTACTTCTTTGGCATTGCTACTTTTAAGTAGTCAGGTAATATTGTCATCGGATACACCAGGCATTCTTCACTGGGAATATAAGAACAACAAACTATATAGGGATAATAAATAAATTCATGTGTGAGCATAAGTGGATGGGAATACTTTAAGTAGGAGATTCCCATAATTTTTCACCTCTCTGGGGTTGCATACTCTCACACATCTTTGTAATTAAGCTTCCATCACCCTATCTTGTAGATTACACTTTGGGAAGCCATTCTTTTGCTCCCAGGCCTCTCTCAAGCAAGTGCTTAAGATTTTGTATATTTATGGGAGGCTGTCCCATTCAACACAGGAACACCTTTTGTGTGATATTAGCTAAAAGCAAATACACTTATATATATTTGCATTTCTGTTGAATATTTACACATAGGTCTAGAACTATTGTTAATGAATTTATATAAAATATTGAAATTCCATTTATTGCATAACAAAATTTATATATGAATTTATTCATGAGATACTAAAACAGACCAATAGATTGGTAGAATGACCTTTTTGAAAAAAGTAGTGCAGGTAAAGACTGGACATGGATATCATGGCCATATCTTCATTGTTCTCCTGGATCTAGTGTTTTTAGTACAGACTCTTCTGCCCACCATTGGAAGCCATAGCTAGCTATCACATGCGCAACAACCTGGTTTTACACAATTAGGTCACTTTGTGCTATCATTGATGCACTTGGTATACTTGTGGAATATGTTTTAAATTTGTTTGTTTTACATATGAAGTGCACAATCATTTTTTTTTAGTCCCCTGACTCTAAAAGGGCCTGTTGATCCAAAGAAATAGCTCAAATAATTAAGATGTGTGGTTACAGTTCCTTAAACATTGAATATTTTTTGCATATGTAACTTTTGCAAAAAGAAAAATGCAGCTAATTGGATCTTTTACTTAATCATTAGATAATTTTATACCTATTAATAATGTGTAGGCAAGGAAATGGGTGACAACAACATTGAATAAAACACTTATTGATGTTTTATAGAAATAGTCTATTAAAAATTTAGCTAATTCATTTAGTTTTATTTATTACTAAACAGTGATGATTCCTATAGTGGGGTTATTCCTAAAATATCACTTTATATGCTAAAAATAAGAATTTCTGAATTACTACCTAATTTCATCTTTGTCTTCTATTACTGTTACTGAAAATGTCAGTAAAAGTAGAACTAACTAAAGTAAGTGGATTACTAAAATGAGGATGATGATGATGATAATGGAAATTATTAGGATTATTAAGGCAGATGATATGGTAATGATTATGGTGATGAAGAAGTTTTAAGTATATTTCAAAAAATGAGTAAAGCTATAGAATTAGTGAGTATCGGCTCTAAAAAGCATAGATGAAGGCAGTCATAATTCAGATTGATATTTTTCAAAAAATGAGTTGTGATCACACCTTTTATATTGAAAAAAAAAAAAAAGGTCCATGGCTACTGATCTTTATCATGCCTTGTTCTTTACATCCTATGGCTGAGGAAACTCCAAAGCCCCCACCCTGCAGCTTGTATGCTTAGCAACATTACTTCCCATTATATCAAGGCCATCTTTCTTCTGTTTTAACATGTATTCATTGGAAAGGGAGAGAGAGAGTTATTGTCGCTATACTAACATTCGCTCAAATGCCTACAGTAGCCAGGGGTGAGCCACGCAAAGTCAGGGGCCAAGGTCTCCTTGCCAAGGTCTCCGTTATGGAACACACATGGCCAGTTGCTTAGACTGTCTTCCCCCTCTCCTGTTCGGAGAAATCTTTTTTAAAAAGCTGTAAACTGAAATTTGTAAACTACTGTTCCGTTAGAGTAAAAAGAATTAAAATATATTGTATATCTGTATATAAAAATAAAAGATCTGACAGACTTTACAGCCTATTTTCTAAGAGAGCTTATGAAAGATTTTAGGTTAACCAGATGAATTATTAGACAAACTACAATTTAAAAAAATTGCAACATGCTCTTTTTTAACATAATACATGAAAATGGGACCTTCCATAAACTTTGCTCCTAGGAATTTTGTATTTGTTAAGAAAAAAAAACCTTGTTTCCCACCACATATGTAGATTACTTTTAAGATATTGTTACCTGTAAAATTTTGGTTTTCTTTAGGTTGTAAAAGAAATTAAAAAAAAAAACTATATGATAATTTGCAGTGACTGCTACCAAAAAAGTAGCCAGTTTATCTTTTTTTTGCCTCTTTTATCAAATAAAGAAGTAATGAGTTACATCAAAGAACCAAAAAGTGATTCACTAGTATTATGAATGCTTCAATTAAAGATATTGAAATATGAAAATTCAAAATAATTTCCAGAAAACTATTAACATTATAGTCATTATCTAATCTGAAATACAGAAATGATTTAGTTCAGCTAAAAGTGATTTTTTAGTTTTCTTTTTATTCTAAATTTTAAGATTTTTGATGATATACTTTTGTTATTTGCAAAACTTGTAATATGTCTGTTTTGTAGATAAGCAAGCTCAATATACTATTCATTATTTAATAACACTAGCTGTTTGAGCTATTTGCCCATTTTACCATTTTATTATGCACATATTTTATGTTTGATGACATTGACGATGGCTGGTTAATGGCAACAGATTAAGTTGATGTTTTAGTTTTGATAGCAATATTCATAATAGGAAAAGAAAGAGAAAATATTTCTACCAAACAAATGATTTCACAAAATAAATGAATATACAGGAAATGCCTACATAATAATAACATCCTTCAGATTTTTCAAAATATCAGAACACTTGGCCAAAGCTGTCGTTGTCAATGGAGAGGAGAGTTTTATTGTTTTATAAGCCAGGTCATTCACTGAGCCTCTCTGGCCCCTTGCCTTTATCGTCTAAATGAAGTTGACTTTATCAACTAAACGACCCTTCTGACAGAATTTCTGTGAATCTTAACAAGATAACATAAAGAATTCTGGAAGGCATACTGACCAGATATGCAAGCCTCACTCCAGAGTCCTCTATCCCTTGATTGTATTTGGATACTTTGATACATAAGCTTTGATTTCTTAATTTGAAAATTGATATTAAAAATAATGAACCATTAATGACATTGTGAAACTGAAATATTACATGAAAATCAACTAGGTACACACTTTAAATAATGGAGCCTGGTTATTCAAACAATAGCGAATAATATCTTTATTCTGAGTCAACAATGGAAATCTTATCAAATTTATATGAAGAGGGAAAACAGCTACTTAAAGCTTGGCTTTGGTATTATGATCAATTATAGGAAGAGCAGTGCTTAGCAGACTATGCTAGAGGTCAACATTTTTAGTATAGAGATCTGGCTGTGGTTTACAACAGATGGTGAATTGGACCCTTGCGCATAACATACTTGATCTTTTCTACTTCTTGTTCTCTCGACAGGTGAACGCCCCTTCCACTGTAACCAGTGTGGAGCTTCTTTTACTCAGAAGGGTAACCTTCTGAGACACATAAAGTTACACTCTGGGGAGAAGCCGTTCAAATGTCCTTTCTGTAGTTATGCCTGTAGAAGAAGGGACGCCCTCACAGGACACCTCAGGACCCACTCTGGTGAGTGTCACCAACTCATTGAAGAAAAAGATAGCCTAGGGAAATTCAAGTGCTGTAAAACAGTCTCAAGCAACTTACAGTTTTGGTTTGTAGCTAGGAACCACTTAAGCAATAATTTATGTGTATTCATTAAGCAGCTGATAGATTGTTCAGTATACGTATGACGTTTTTGGCTTAATCTTGGTCAAAAGGAACACTGTCAACTGCAGTGTGACTTGTTGAAGTATAATGGAATAAGAAAACAGGCGTTACATAAATTTTTGTGTTGTTTGAAGTTTTGTAGTTATTATGATAGTAATTACTGTTAATCCAGGATAATTGAGATATGGTAAAATGTCAGTTACATTTTCAAATTACTATATAAGTGATGAAAGCTGTGGTATATTTTGACTGATATGCTCACACCAAAATTTGTATGGGAAATCAAATATTGTTACTCTTAATTTGAAATTATAGTTTTCATTAAAATGGATTGCTATATTATATACCAACTTAACTCTTCTTGTTGCTTTAGCTTTCAAACTATAGTCATTGCGCACAACCTGAAATTTTTCTCTGCTTTATAAATCATTAAACAGTAGAGAACAGGTTTAATATATTTTTTTTTGGTACCAGGATATAATGCATAAAAGAAACAGAAAGATCAGAAATCTGAATGAATCTCATTTAACTTTTAGCATGCATTGATATAGCCAAGAAGTTAAAGGTGGAAAATTAATATAGCATGCTTTCAGGCCAGTTGTATGTGCTCCTTCTATCCATAATGATATATTAAATTTTAATTTTAATTTTAATATGAAGATATGATGGAAATGACATTTTCATCTACATTGACAAATTATGTTACAAAGTGCTAAGGATTGTGAGGTAATGCCTGTATTATCTTTCTTTACATTTGCCCGTTATGCTTAAGTCTGATCTTAATTTTTTTAACATGAATGTGAATTACGTAAAACTATTTCAAGCATTAACTCTTAAACGTGGGCAGTACAGAAATGAAATTAATGCAAACATTAAAACAAAATCGCTTAAGTATATATTTTACTTTCTTCCCTGACATAAAGCAATTCACTTATTCCTGTGACATATTTTGTTTTAAAAGTATGCTCCAAATATTGTATCTTAAAGTGGTATCTTTTTCTTATGTAAATGTATTACTTATTAAAAGATTTTTTTTTTAGGACAAGATACCTCTTTCCTTGAGCTTGCCATGTGTTGCAACTTTTTTCTTTTTGTTTTTCTTCCTTCCTTCCTTCCTTTCTTCCTTCCTTCCTTCCTTTCCTTCTTTCCTTCTTTCTTTCCTTCTTTCTTTCATGTTTCTCCCATAGTTGACAAGAATGCAGGCCCACGCAACAAAGTGGGGAAGGTCGAGGAATAGGGGAAAGTAGGTGGGACAGATGCTCCCAGTTTTCCTTTTCTTCCCTTTTCTTTTGGGGGGAGAGATGTGGAGGGGGCTGCCCCCTGCTGCCAAACTACACCAGTACCTGGGGATGGGGCTGTCCAGTTGATGTCATAAACTCCAATGTGGAGAAGAGTGTTATGAGGCTATTGCTAGATAGTTCTCAGGCCGTGTTGGTTTCATTGCTCCAAGGTTGAAAAAAATCTTACCAAGGTCCATTGGCTGAGAGTCCACCTTAGTGCTCCACTCATGTACCTGGGCATTCCATCCACTGCACAGGCATCAGCACTGGAGGAGGCCCAGTTTTGAAACATGCATTCCAAGGGCAGACCACAAATTCTGATTGCCCCTATGGCTGGAGTTTTGAGACCAGTGATCCAGCTGGGAATTCTTCCAAGAAACCTCACCTGGGGTGACCCCAGACCTGACTCTTACATGTGCCAGCCAGTACAGGGTCTGGTTTAGTCCATCACTCATATCAGCCCACAAACACACTAGTATTTATAGTTGCATGCTCAGTTCCATCCCAGTCCCACGTCCCATGCAAACCGACAAGTGTTGTAGCTCAGTCCTGCCTAGCATGCCACAGATCTGGCCCTTGCACACACAAGCAAGAACTGCAGCCTAGATGGGGTGACCCTCAATATCCACCACCAAACTCAACTCCAGCCCCAGTTCCTACTCATGCCAGTATGACTGTTCTGGTCATTGCCACATCCCTCGGCTCTTGTATACACCCATGGGTGTTGGAACTTGACTCAGCTCACAGTTCCCCTTTCCTATCCCATGAATCAGTCCAGTGTATGCTAATGAGTGCTATACTTTGTCCAGCCTCAGCCACCCCCAGCCCTGGCTCCCATGCATGCCAGTAAGAGTTGCAACCCAGTAAAGGAGTGTCTCTATTAGGTCCACTCCCAGCCCCATTCTTGAGCTTGCCAGAGGGTGCTGCAGTCCAGTCTGAAATGACTTGTACCCAGCTTCAGCACTTGCCAGCAAATACAACAGCAAAGCCCAGCTGGCCCACACTTATTTTGACTCTTGCGTATGCATTGGCCTAGTGTAGCCTGGCCTTCCTCCAAATCCAGCTCAAATGCAGGCCAAAGATTGGTCTGCCCCTAGTCCTAGCTGTCATGTTCACCAATGGGAGCAGTGGCCTAGCAGGGGAGTCCCTGAAGTTCCCCTACCAAGCTTTGCTCCAACCCCAGGACTTGGTTGTGCCATTGGATGCTGTGGCCCAGTCTGGCATGACCTGTCTCATCTCAGCATTCACTGGCAGGTGCTGCAGCCTAGCTCTGCCTGGTCTGCCCCCAGTCACAGCTCATGCTGGGGAAGGGGTTGCTTTAGCCTAGCCCAGCCCGACCAGCCTTCAGGCTTGGCCTTAATGTGAACTGGTGGGTATTGTGTCCCAACCTGACCTGGGCTGCACCCCAGCCATGACTATCACACCTGCCAGTGGATGTTGCAGACTAGCCAGCCCACAGACCTGACTCACATGTATACTGACAGTTACTGTAGCCCAGCCTGAACTAGATTGCCCCCAGGTTCGATTCTTGTGCTCTCCAGCCAGGGCTGTGTCTTAACAACTCCCCAAGCTCCCCTATCAGAGTTGCTTCCAGTTGCAGATCTCACTATACTGATGGACATTTGGTTTGGCTCACCCTGACTTGACCCACCTCTATCTCAACCTTCACCAGTGTGCACTGCAGCCTTGCCAGTCCAGCCCACACCTATTCCAGCTCTAACTAGTGGGTACTACAACCCAACCCTACTTGGCCCATGCCCAGACTCATTTCTCATGTGCATCAGCAGGTTCTGACACCTAGCCCAGCCCTCTCCACAACCACTCTGACTCTCACAAGTACCAGCAGGTACTAGAGCTTAGCCTAGTCTGACACATCCCCAGACCCAGCACATGCATATGCCGAGGGATGTTGTAAGCCATGTTTAGCCAGGTCTACTCCCATTCTTGGCCCTTGCACTCATCAGTGGGAACTGCAGTACAGCAGGGGCATCCCCTTGGCTCCCCTGCCATACACACTCCAAACCACAGATATTGGAAATGCCAGGTGGTGCTCCAACACAGCATTGTATGACCTAACGCCCATTTTGGCCCTTGTGAATGTTGCAGCCTGGCACAGCCTGGCTGGCCCCCAGTTCCAACTCTTCCAACCTGCGCAGCCTGCCCCCATCCCCAGCACTCATGCAAACCAGTGGGGTGAAGTAGCCTAGCCCAGCAAGACCCATACCCCATTCTACATGTGCCAATGTGCTAGAGTTTGGCCAGCATTGCCTGGTCTGGCCTACACCCAGCCATGACTCTAGAGATCACCAGCAGGAGCTACAGATCCCAAAGTTCCTCCACCATGCCCACTCCCAGACCTAGATCTCATAATGTCAGAGGGTGCTAGGTCCCTACCTGGGAGAGTCTGCCTCCCTGTCTTGGCCTTTGTGTATGCTGGTGGATGTTGTGGTCTGGTCTGCCCCACACCCAATTCATGGGTGTGCCTGCCGGCACTGCAGCTTGGACCAGCCTCGCCTTATCCCAATCCCAGTACCCATAGGTGTCCGTGAGTTCCATGGTCGTGCCTAGCTTGGCCCATCATCACCCCCAGCTCACCAGCAAACCAGTGCTTAATGCAGTGAGCCCCCAAATTTCCCACAGAATCTGTCCTCAGACTCGGTTCTCTCGCATCCTTGAAAGTGCCATGGCCTAACATAACATGGCCTATGCCCTGCCCTGACACGCCTTGGTGGGTATTGTGGTCCAGCCCTGCAGCAGGCCCTCAGTCCTAGCTTTCATGTGCACTGGTGGGCTTTGGTTAATACCAACCATCCCAGCTCAGGTCTCCCCTGTGGGCAGGTGCATTGGTCTGACCCAGAAAGGTACTCTGCTTTTCCTCCTCCAAACCACCCTGTCTCAGTTCCCTTTGTATATTTGTAAGCACAATAGCCTGGTCTGTGGAAGTCCCGCAGAAGTCATTCTTCACCTGTAACTCCCTCAGGAGTCCTCCTTCCCAAATATCCCCATACCCTCTTCCATGAGCAGTTTGAAAACCCCCATTCCTACTAATGCACGGGTCCCCAAACCTCATCCTCCAGCCATATATCATGCCAGGCTGGAGCCTTGCCTGCTTGCCCAACATGCATGCTCACGGAAGGGTCCCCAGACCCCATATGCCATTGTGCCAGTATCTGTCCCAACTCCCTCGCCTCCACATTTCTTTTTAAAATCTATCTTAAAAAAAAATACATAACAATGTTGGTATACTAGTTAACACATACTTGGCATTAACCAGCCCCAGAATGTCTACTTTTTTTTCCAGTAGTATAACACTTGCCTAGATACAAGGCAACTTAGGCATTTGCTTAGAGCTGGGGGTATTGTAGTTTTTAAAACTATTATTGAGTTTTCTAAGGTTTATTTAATGCATAGATTTTAATGAATAGATATCTGTTCTATACAGTCAATAGCTTTAAATATCTATATTTCATTCTTTACAAAATTGTGTTGGTTTTAGCATCATGGCTTAGTGTATTTTTTATCTTTGTAAAGGTATGGCCTATCAGCTTTTGTGCTGATTTTGCAACTTAATATACCAGG